AGTTAATGAAGATGTTGTTGCAGCAGTTACGGTGGCGAAGAGTAGTTAGGTAAATAATTTTTAAGATTTCTTTCTTGAAATGCAGTTTTTACTAACAAAAATCGTAAATGACTATACTGTTTAATATGAAAAATCCTGGAATATTTCGAGTAGACACGAAGAACTCTTACAGGGCCCGAAAAAAACTTGGAAAATTCCCATAAAAAAAAAACTCCGAAAATCCCCAGCGTATTTCAATAAATTCACGTCGAATTCCAAGAAGAAGAAGTTCGTGAACTCAACTTTATCTTCGTGAGTAGGCAGCTACAAATTAAATAAATTATTTTTAAACTGAAGTCCCCTCAAGAGCTAATTACAATCCTTCCTACATTTTTCTCAAAAAAAAAAGGCGGTATTGTTTTCGAAAAATTTTTTCTCAAAATTAGTTATTGGTAATTAATATATTTCAAGGCCTTTTGGTTTATTTCTAGTTAATTTTATACTTGTATTTGAGTCTTAGCAATTGGTAGAAAAGCGAAACTCATTAAGAATATAACTCAATTTGCCATTTACATACTTACATAACATTTAATACAAAAAAAATATAACCTATTTTCAAAACTAATTATCATTCTTCGTTATACCCGTAAGCAGAAATTAAAAAAAAAAAAACTATATACATATTTTTTTCATTATTTCATAAATACTAATTACTGCGCTAATGATCTGCAAGGTGTGTCGATCAATACAAAGAATGTGCAGTGCACATAAAATATGTACATTAAAACATACATACATACATGTGACTGTATATGTGGCGCAATAACAATTTAAAAGAATGGATAATTAGTATGAGTTCTTTGTACCATAACAATGACAATAACAATTTTCCGCAAATGTATTTATTATAAATAATTAGTACAATTATTAGGTTTCGATCCTATAGACTTAATGCGATGTTGCTCTCTTGTCCATACATATGCACATATGTATGTGTGTATTTATAGATACTTTTGTTTGTAAAACTTTTATAGCCAATTATAGTATCTATATATACTTATATATTTATTTATAAATATAACTCTATATGAATTAGACCGTACCGGAAAAAAGTTCGCCGTACACCCCTGAATCCAAAGTATTTTTGGAAGGCAATTTAAACTTCCATATATCGATGTTTTTGGCTCGAGCAAACATTCTTTTCGTTTCAAAGTACATTGGACTCAAACACAGTTTTAGTACTTACCAACCAGATCTCGGTACTTAAATTCGACTAAAAAAAAGATTGTTTCGAAAAGGCCTTGCAAAAATGCTTTAAAGCTCAGTTAGTCTAGACTTAACTTAATTTAACTTACCGTAAGAAATCATCAATGATTCTCAACACGTCAACTTAAGCCAAGAGCGGAAATATTTTGTTTTTGTATTTTCTTTTTCAGCTGTTTAACAGTTCGCCGCCTTAAATGCCACATCAAAAAAATTCATGCAAACAACAATGTTTGCTTTCATTTATTTTTAAGAAATACAAAGACGAGAGTCTGGCAAGCCTGATTCTCTCACCGCTCTCAATTTCCGTAAGACCGTAACTTAAGAACCTAAAATCTACAGGTTCTTAAGTTTTGTACGCTAAGTTAAGTTTTAACTAACCGCCAACACAGTTTCTCATATAACAGGTTGGCCGAAATATTTAGTTAAGTTACGTTACGGAAATTAGATTCAGAGGTGTACGGCGAACTTGTTTGGTTCGTTTGTAAGGTGGTACTGTCTAATAAACATACATACATACACATTTATTTTTATATAAAACTAGCAATTACCCGGCGTGCTTCGCTGCGCCATAAATGTATTTTTGTNTCTAAAGCTTGTCTTTTGTTTCTTTTCAGGTAAATTTGCTTTCAAAAGTTAACTTTTTTATATACCCAGCGATATAATTTGCGAGCGGCTACAAACCAAAAAAAGTTAATAGAGTGAGTAGTGGTTAATCAGATATTCATTTAAGCTAATTTAACTATAAATTCGGTGAGAGTTTTTGTTAGTTTGAGCTTCTGCGAATCGATTGCAGGACAACACGATTTTAAGTTCTGAAGGAGTTAAATATGTGTGTAAGTATAGCAAAGAAAGCAGTAAATGATTTGTTCCGTGGTGTTTACTAGGGCGGTCCTTAAAATATCAAAATCTAAATAAATTTCATGTTGTATGGGGCAACCTTTTATTTTGTTTAACGTACCAAAATAAAGACATCCACAAAAATTTCAAATTTTAAAATAAACTTTGGTCATATAAATTTATCATGCAGGTTTACAAATAGTTGTCTTGGAAAAAAATACCAAGAAGTTCGTGTATAGCGACGACGACCGACATACTAGTTGCTTTGATCAGATCAAAATTTTCTGAGTTATAGCTGGTCAAAGCCAAATAAAAAATAAAAAAAATACATTTTTTCAAACACCGGTAGCGGACTTCTAAAAATTATTTTAAAATTTTGAAATTTGTATGGTTGCCTTAATTTTGTACCTGCTATAAAATTTTAGTAGTTCATATTTTTATTGGCTCTAGTCCTGTTCTTGGCATTAAATGTCAAAAATCAGCGTTGCTATTAATTTCTGGAGATCGTTTCCTCATATCTCTAATGACCTCTTGGTCTATGTTAGTATGTACATAGATGCTCTTTATTGCAACTTATATATTGAAGAAAAGCATTTATGATTGAAAAATATGCATGGGTCAATAGGGTGGTCTTAAAATGCATGTTTTTTTTTTTAATCAAAAAATATTTAGAGGACGTTCAAAGCGCTCAAACTTTTCCATGTATTTTATATGTGAACACAACAATGTTTCGTAGAAATTGTATAGAATTCTTGAAAATCAATATTTTTCGATCGGAAAGCTCGGCTACTCTTCAGGAAACTTCCAATAATAATACCAAATGGATTATTTTATCACTTTCTAATCCTAAAGATTTCTTCCCCATTGCGTTTTTTGGTGTTTATAGACAAGTCGGACAAGTTTCATGCGTTTCTTTAATTTGAAAATTGAAAGCAAAATATGCACTACATGTTCGGACGGTCAGGAGAAAATTTTGTGTAGCTGGAGAACGATGGCGCCGATGATGTTTTTCATGGGGAGAAAGTATCGAACGGCAAACCGAACAACGTTTCGGTTAGTGTAGGACTTCGACATAAACTAAACCCCCTGCCGACATATTTCATCGGAAGGCGTAATTAAGCACTTCAGTCTCCGTTTTAGCGCGATGCGAAATAAGTTGCACCACTTTTGTCATTGTATCCACTTTATCAGAAGATTGTGTACTTTAGTCATCTCCAACTTGAGTAGCTCTGGTAGTCGAATTTTTTCCAAAAGCGAAATTATTAAACCAAATTCTGATATTGTCATATTGAGTATAGAAAATATTAAAAATTGCCAAAAACTTTTTTAACGCAATCAAGATTCCTAATTGGTAGTTCATATTGTATATTGACCTTTGAACTTGGAAATGTTCTGAACTTACATACAGTTCTTTTTGTTAGACTTTATCTGCTTATTTGCATACGCAAACTGTAATCAATATCCGCATACAAATGCAAATTTCTCTGACGATGGTTGCATGGCAATGACTGACCCAGCTGTTATTTGTTCGCCATAACACAATTACACACACATTGACGCATTTGGAAAAATTACTTAAGCAATCACACATTCAGGCGCTTATCATAGTAACAAAAAAAAAAAAAAAAACAAAATTCGCAACGGTTGGCTATTTATAGAAACGACAACAACTAGTAATAATAATAATAAAATATCGACAACTAAAAGCTTTTGATAAAAATTGGCGAATAAGTTTGCACGCAAAAAATAAATACATGTATATTAGACTGCATCACTCCCCATACAAAAAAAAAAAAGTCGGTACTGTTTTTCCATTGGTATCATAAAATCTATTATATTTTAAGACATCCACCAAAATATTTCGGAATAATATTTTAGATTTACGTTAGCTGGACCGATTTGAAAATCCAAATCCAAAAATAGAGTTTTTTCTTAAGTTATTTCTTAGTGCTTAAAAAATTTATATAAAAATATTTCAAAAGCATTTAAAAAAATATTCAACGGAATCGTAATAAGATTTTTGATGCCGTTTTATAACTTTATTCAAAGATTGGCATAAGAAAACTTGAATAACTGAGCCTAAACTATTCCGATTTAGACTTGTGAGGTATCGCTGGAAAGGTATTTTCTCACCCTTTTTATTTCTTTGCTAATAAACTCAAGTCATGAAAGTGGAAGGCGGGATGAACGAGCGTCATTCCGAGTTTAACTAAGATGTGTTGGTACTTGATAAAAAAAAAAAAATTGCGACAGAAATAAAAAGAGTGGGAAAAGACCCCAAAAGTCTAAATCAAAATAATTTTGGCCCAGTTATTTAAGTTTTTCGTAAATCAATCTTTGAAAAATGTAAAAAAAGACAGCATCAAAAATCTCATTATTACGATTCCGTAGAAGAGACTTTTAAATATTTTTATGCAGACTTTTTAAGCTTAATCTGTTTTGTCATCTGAGGGGATTCTTTCTTCTCAGCCACGTCAGGTCCAGCCCACGTAAATCTTAATATTTTTTTCAAAATAATTTGGTAGACGTCTTCAAATATAATAAATTTTGTAATCCCGCCGGAAAAACCAAAACTTTTTTTTTTGGTGAATGCATCAATTGTATATAGCCCACAAGCAGAGCGGATACAAATTTAAAATTTATAAATCAATAAAATCGCTTTGATTTTTATTAATGCTTTTTGCTGGCGGCTTTAGCGTTATGATCTTTATAAGAAAAATCATAATTTAATCCTTTTATGTTTTATGATATTTAGTTTTTCGCTCAAAAAGGATCGCTTTTCTATTTTTTTTTGCTATGATCAATTTTTGATCCTTGTTTTAGATTTTTATTTTTTCGATTTAGTTTCTTAGATTATAAAATATCGCCCATAAATACCCAGTCTCCATTATAACAGTTAAAAATGATAGGAAAATGGAAAAGTTTCAAATAACCATTCTTTTTTAGCGAAAAAATTCAAATTTCACAAATATTCTGGACCAATGTCAGATCATTAATTAGTTGCGTTCCCCAGCAAGTTTTTTTCCAGAATTTATCCGAAAGCGTTCCCGTACTCGGTTCCTGTGTTGCCAGGTAGTTGAACTGAGAAATCCTCAAATCGGTTCTTGAAAATCGGTCATGTTTTGAAAAATCGTCAACCCACAAAATATTAAAATAAACCGTGGCAGCTGTTTGTTATACGAAAAAAATAAATATAGAAAGCTTTTTACGAATTATTAAAATTCACGGTACTTATAACAGGAATTTATAATTTTTATTAAGAGAAAAGCATTCGTACAATGAGATCGGAGATCTTTTATAGTACAAAACAGGGATTAAAAATATAGTAAAAATAAAATTCATGCAAATTACTTAAAACAAAAATAAAAATAAAATATATACATATCACATTATACATACATATGTAGTAAAGATCAATACAGAAAACAAAACGAAAGTTAAACATTTAGAAATTACAAAAAAAAAACAAAATTAAAATAAATAAATAAATACTTGTTTCAGAGAAAGTACGTATAGATGGTGTTCTTAAAGTTGCTTTTATTCAATCCACTACGAATGGAGGTAGGGATATAATTCCAGATACGAATAGCATTGACAAAGAATTGCCTTGCAGAGTTTAGATAATTAAAAGATGGTACTATCAAGTCGTTTATTCGAGCTGCTTTGGGGAAGAATAGTTTATTTTAGAGATAGCTAGGAGCATTATCCAGCAAAATCCGACATAGAAATATACAATTCCTGGCTTTCCAATATTCAGAGATTGCACAGCCCAACAAACGCAACCTCCACTCAGAGATATGATCATATTTCGCTAAGCCAAATACATGTCGTATTATATGGATAAACACAACATCAATTTTATGTGCAGATTGAGAATTCAATTTGCCGTAGACAAGTAGACAAGGGCTACTAAGCTGATAACTAAAAATATTTCTTTAACCCTTGTGTGTTGGACAAGGTACTTGGGTATACTTGTATGGAACTTTTTAAATTAAAAGGTAATATAATTTTACCATTTTCGCACATATGACACCACAATAGAAACGAATGTCCATATTTCCTTTTCTTTTTATTGAGATTTTGTAGTCAATGCAACTATGTGGTGAAGGAACCCTTTTCCAACAAGCCTTCGAATTTAAAAGAAATAAGACATATATACCAATTTTTTTGGTTTGGGTTAAAGATTTTTGTGTTATAGGATTAAAATTCTAATAATTTTCTGCAAAAAAAAAAAACGATAAATTGCCACCAAAACAAGTGGACTAAAAAACTGCACACTGAGAAAAAATCGTAATTAGCTTATCGAAATCGTCAAGGCAGTTAAAAATCTTCCAAATGACGACCAAATCGTCAACCTGCAACAAGCCTCGGTTCGCGGTAAAATGAGAGGGCAGATAAGAGAGTAAATGAGATTCTCTTCTTGTCAGCAGTTGCAAGATTTAAACCCCTGAATTTTTGCAGATAAAATCCCATAAAGGTCGAAGTTGAGTAAAGTCCAGCTCTCAGTAAAATGCAGCTCTCAAGAAAGAGCAAACACTCCCTATAAAATGACGTAGGATAAATGGCTAAGAAATTTTCTAGTGTCGAATTTTCTTAAGGCAGTACGCAGTTCTTAAGAAATTTTTTACGCTTTCTACTGCAATTTTCTAAAGTTTTTTTGTGAAAAAAGAGCACAAGGCAACCCAGGTTTGCAACAGAAATATATGCCCGTTCCATTATTTCTTGAGGAAAGAGTGAGGCAACAGGCTTTCACTAGCTGTTTCAGATGTCAAAATTCCTTGGTCACACACACGAAATTATGGAGATTTTTTTCTTGACCGTTTTCTTGAAAGCTGCACACAGGCCTTAAATTAAAAATATACATACCTGGGCGTATCAGTGAATTCATGTTATTAAAAATATCGTATCAAACAAATATTGGCACCACCGCCATGCGTGAATTCTACGTATAAGTATGCGTACACATCCGCAAAATGCTGCAATGAAAACGAAAGTTTTGTAAATTCCAAAAAAATAAATAAATTAAAAATTAACTGCTATGTATGTACGTATGTGTATTAGGCAAATACGAAATGCGGAAATTCAGGCGACAGTAAGACGTTAGTCGATTTGCCCATTGTCTGATACCAAATTAAGTTTGCACATTTCGCCGCAAATGGCGGACATTCGCAGGGGCAACAATGGACAGTAGACTGAATATTTGATATGTATGTATATTAGGGTGGTCCAAAAATGCATGTGGACAAATTAGAGTCGGGATTTTTGTGCTGCTCTCACCCCCTAGGATTTTTCTATACCGAAAAAATATACCCCTATTTTTTATTTTGAAATCAAAAAATATTTAGACATCACGCAAAACGCTCAGTTTTCCATGTATTTTTTGTTGGGAAAAAAAACAACTTTTCATAGAATTGGTATGGAATTCTTGAAAATCAATATTTTTCGATCGGAAAATTCTGTTTCTCTTCAGAAGATTCCCAATAATAATACCAAATTAATTATTTAACCATTTTTTCATAGAAACTATATTTTATAGGTCCGCCAAAACCCCCAGAAAATGCCAGAAATTCCATACCATTTCTACGAAAAGTCGTTTTTTTCCCCACATAAAATAAATGGAGAACTTTGAGCGACCTCTAAAAATTTTTTTATTTCAAAATAAAAATACAGGGGTGTATTTTTTCGCTGTAGGTCAATCCTATATATGTATATGGCGCATTTCAGCCCGATTTGGACACCAATTGGATTTTGGAACTGCGATTTTTCTTAATTTTCACGCTTATGGTACCAAATGAGAGACGACTTACTGATTGTTTTTATATTTTTTTTTTGTCCTGTCGTTATCAAGATATCGATTTTTGAAAAAAGGCCCTTTTTTTAAATGCCCATAACTTTGCCAAAAAAGAGTTTTTTCAAAACACTTTTGGAATATAAAAACGAAAAAATTTTTAAAAACAATTTTGTACAAAATTTTCAAATTTGTAATATAAAATATTGATTTCTAAAAAAGACATATTGATAGATTTTCGGTAAAATTTTTGCTAAAAACTGACACTTATTTCGCAAGCCTTAAGTCTAGTCCCATTTTTGGATAACATAAAAAACTATGAAAAAATCGGAGTTGGAATATTCAAATGGTGTACACCATTCGAACGTTCGAATCACACTCACACAAAAACAAAAACGCTATATACATACATACATACTAGAGGTTTACGCCGACAGGCTTTGCGGCGGCGGCGTGGCCCGGCGGCGTATACCTCTAATACATACATATGTATGTATGTATATAGCGTTTTTGTTTTTGTGTGAGTGTGATTCGAACGTTCGAATCACACTCACACAAAAACAAAAACGCTATATACATACATACATCCTAGAGGTTTACGCCGACAGGCTTTGCGGCGGCGGCGTGGCCCGGCGGCGTATACCTCTAATACATACATATGTATGTAAATAAATTTGCATCTATTTGAAGCTGCTAATCAATTACCTTTAGTAGCTTGTGATGACGCCTTTTACCTACGCCATCACTCAAATCCAGTGCTTCAGACACCCTTAAACAAACTTCAAATCCCACTTTTGCTTTCACCCTTCACCGCCACACCGCTCACCCGCTCACCCGCCCAACCAACCAAATTGCGCTCCAACGCAATGCGCATCAATCGATTGCCCATTTCGTGGAAGTCGAACGTTCGGAAATACTCGTAGTTGAAAAACGTGACAGCATTGGCACATTGAAATAATTCAATTACTAAATACTTACCTATGTATGTACATATGTGTGTAGGCATGCCACGAAACATATTTACACTTATTTGCGTATACATATTTATGTGTGTTTGTGTGCAATTATACTATGTATGTACTTGCCTCTTGTCTTGTGGCGCATTAAACTTTTCTGTTTACCAAGTTTTTATTTTTACTTCCACCAGTGTTGTTTTCTTCAGCCGCCAACGTTAAGCAACACACTTACTCGCATGCATACATACATACATACATACATACATACACTAAGAATGGGGTCGAAATAGGAACGTGCTGACACTTGAAGCTGCAGGCAAATAGGTCGATAAGTGGCAGCCGGTTCATCTACATATGTACATAAGTACGAGTGTGTGTACTCCACCTGTCCGACCCCACTGCCGTTTAGCTATTTGCTAAGCTATCTGGCATGTGTTTGTTGATCTGTCAGTCGTTTGTCTGTAGTCTTGACTGGTTCTATTTTTACTATGCTCAGAATAAAATGTAACTAAGTATATCACTAATTCGATTAGCTTTTTCCCGCTTAAAAATACAAAAACAGAAATATACATGCATACAAAATATACATACATACATACATTTAAATAGTTAAATTACTCGTAGTTTGTACGACCGCATGGAGAGTGGGAAGCTTCAAGGGTAATTTGGAAGTCTTGAGGCCATTTTGCAATTCCTAAATGGGACTCTTGTAGAGCTGATGATTAGAACAATCAGCAAAGAGTCACAAATTTTGAACACTGTAGCAGCCACACTTGGATCTAAGTGTACCAATGGCAAAATTCATATTCTAGGCGGATATTTTCCGATTTGAAACCAGCATCCACGAATGTTTTCGCAGAAGCAGCAATGAGGCTAAAAAAGACAATTTCTTGTGTTCAAGCGACATTAGGGACCCAAATCTCTCGTAACTAAAATAATGGAGTATTTCAACAGCAAGCAGAGAATCCAGTAGATTCATATCACCTTCTCGAGTAATCTCTGAAACGGCTACAGACCGCGTCAGTGTAGTGGAGCGGCTGCTTAATTTAATCCAGGGAGTGCTACGGACCCTCATAAAATCCGGATGGGACTGTATTTTATACTTTAATATGCTAAGGCTGTAATGATGCCTTAATTAGTTGTCAGTTCAATGTACTAGCTTTAGTTTGAGATTCTGATCCTCTCACCGGGAAATGTTTATCCGCAATCTTAACCAGTCGGGTCAGAGGTGAGACAAGGTCATCGTAAATCATTTTCAATTCTACTTGACGGACAGACATACAAACATTTCTAATCCGAAAAACAAAAGCATACTAAAAATTGTTTTTTTTTTTTTTAACCAAAAAAATGGCGACTTCCTTGGGTATGTTATTTTGATTGCTCATTGAGAACTTAAGCTAAGTATCACCCGAATTTGGTAGATTTTTTTTTGTTTTCGGTTTTCGGTCGACTGAGCGTTCGCTTTTACTTATGTACATATGCCAGAATAATTTTAAGCTCACACCAAATTGTTTAAGGCTTCCTTATTGGCTGCCAAGCACAATTGAACATCATATTTGGCAAATACTTTAATTGAATGCAATGATCATCGATTAAAGCGCTGTTGCCAAGCGATAAACCCAAAACAATTTTGTTCGCCTTATTTCACCTATTTTTTTTTTGATGATTGAGTGGATTTTTTCCGATAATCAATTTAACCTTTTCGGGACAATATAAAAAAATGCGGTCTGTATTAAAGATTGTGATCTGTTTAACGAGTAGTAAACACATCTGGTTGAAAACATTTTATTTTTGGACGGAAACTTCTTAATCGAGTTCGGACATGTTTGCGTTAAATATTTAACGCCACAGTGAAGGTGGTATGTACATTAGGGTGGTACAAAAATGCATGAGGGAAAAAGTATAGTCCGAATTTTTATGCTCTCACCCCCTAGGATTGTTCTGTACTAAAAATATAGCCCCATATTTTACGTATCAAAGAAAAAAGGAGAACAAAAATAAAGCACGTGTAAAAAAATATAAATTAGAAAATATGTAAATTGTAAACTTCTTCCTTTCTGAAATTTTTCTTATGAATTTTCCTCTCTTGCGCGCGTAGGGACTACACGCACTCGTTTTTTTAACCCTCTGCTTTTATTATTATTATTTTTTTATTATAAGATAAATTACAATTAAAACTTAGCACTAGCTTCACTTAACATCTGCCTTTTTAACCAAAACTATCTAAAAACCATCTTCAAACTCAAACATCTCATAAATCAGTTTAATTCCCAAAGCTGTCAACCTTGGCTAAACAGATTTTTATTAAAATGTATTGCACACTTGTATGTACACATTTATGTACATATGTATGTATGTCTGTATGGTAAGCCGCTCACGTCGATGGCCAATTTTGCTGCACAAAACTACCTGACTGTGTATCAATTAACAAGTTTATGCATGTTTGACCTTTAAAAATGCAACCATCTACGTACTTACATACATACTTACATACACACTTGACATCAACTTTGGTGTTTGCAACCCAACCGCAAACATGTTTTCGCTTGGCTATTCTTTTTCTGTTCGACGCGCTAAACTCCCACTAGCAAGCCAAAAGGAGCGAGCAGAGCAATTTTTTTTTTTGTTTATCGGCAGTTTATCGTACATACATACGTACGTATGTATGTATATTTTTCTATTGTGTGTGTTCTGGCAGCTCATTTACTTACATTTGTTATGAAAATAAACGTGATATCCCTCAAAGAGTATGTTGCTGCTGCAGCATTAATAACAATGAAAACGACAATAGCAACAACAACTAACCTTGGCCTAAACGTCAAATCGCATAAAAATCTTAATTTTAAAATTTAAAAAAAAAAAAAAACAGCCAGCATGCAGATAAACGGAAAATGGACAGATTCGGACGTATGTTTGAGAGACTTTTGTGTGTAGAAGTTCAGTGTAGCAGATTACAGTGGGGCTGCTTTAAATTGAACTATGGTTTTTGAGACTTTTCCAAAGATTCAATTTTTAATAACTGTTTGTAACTTATCTTGATCGGTCTCTTTGCTAATATCAAGTGGTCTCCATAAATCACAAAATCCTTCACATTTGTAATCTTAAAATTGCCAATCACTCATGTGTGCTCCAAAAATATTAGTTTTGCCCGCAGTCTAAATGAGTTTCACTACTCTCAACTGTTATAAATCAATAAAGTTTGCTATTTGAGTACTCTTTCTTAGTCCATCAATTCTTATCTTATCAGTTTGCTTCTATATATGAATATTTATATCTTTATTGAACTTTATCAGTTCGTAAGCGGTATGCAATTACACAATAAATTGCAAAACTTTCACACAAATTCTTCCCCTCTTCTTTGGAAGTAAATGTGCAACAAAAAAAAAAAAAAAAACTCAAAAATGAACAGAAATTTTTAGAGACTTCAAACTTTCACTTATTATACTAAAATGTAATGGGCGACAAAATTTCATACTCTAATTTTTTTTTTTAAGAAATCGATGTGAAATGTTAAAAATGTTGATGAAGATTATTTGGTATTTCTTGAATTTTCCCAAGTTCTATATGAAAAAAAAGGTTTTTTCGGCTTTTGCTGTTGAATGAACTATATTTTTTATAAAAAAAATAAGAAAAATTTGGTACGGAAAATATAAATAAATAAAAACGTCAAAACGGCGGAATATTCATATTTTTGACGCTGACTGTATGTATACCTAATAGCAAGTTTCACCAGCAGTTTAAGTAAAAAATTATTGTTTTACTTCTGTCAGTTTTCATATTGAATTCAAATAAAAACAAGTAAGAAAGTCGAAGTTAGGGCGAAGCCGAACCTTAAAAATCCGGCGCTCGTATTAAATATAGTTTTTCACCTTTGTGAAAACCACCGTTACATGGTAAGCAGGAGTGGTTTTACCCCTTTTTAGGGCCAAATTCACAGTGCGTAGTTAACTCATAATCGACAGTTAACTACAGATTTTCAGTACAAAAATAGAAAATACTGAAAATTCGCTTCAAATAATACGCTCTTTAAAATACATGTATGCAAGTTTTATGTACAGTATGTAATAACTAAATGCACTTTTTAAAGTTTCATGAATTGCACTTTATTTACATAAAATTACCGATTTCAATAATCTCTTTTTTTTTATCGGAAAGGTGGTAACTCAAGAGTCGTCGCGTAATTTGGTTTAGATCCGGTCATTTGGTCATAAAGAAATTAACGGTACTCCTAAATTTGTATATGAGAATGGAATTCAGTTGTGTTTTTTCTTGGTTTTCGTGGTTTGCCACGCCCATTTTTCAAAAATTTCTTATAAAAAAGACAGGAAAATCCTTTTGTAGCTTTATGAGTCTCACTCAAATCCTGCCAATTACTTGAGTCCCTGAAAAGAATCAATGAATATATATTTGCTCGTGTGCCTACCATTAGTACGATTTACATTAATACGAGTATGAGTGTAGTGTTTAATCGAAAATTTTTTGTTTAATGTGTAATTTAAAATGCTCTTTTTCACTGTTTCGTTTCAGGTAAATATGCTTTCGAAAGTTAACTATGTACATATGCAACAATGCCAACTTTTATTAGAGTGAGTAAATGTTTAAAAAACTATCGATATGAGTTAATTAAATTTTTTTTTGCATTTGGTGAGAATATGTTAGTTTAAAATTATGTGAGTCGTCGTGATGGAGTGCAATGACTTCAAATGCTGCAGGAACATTTTCTTGCACCATATAATTTCAGCTACAAAAAGGGCTGCAGTGATCTCAAACAAAATTAATGCAATTACTTACAAATATTCATTACAAAAATTAAACTGGTCGATGGGCGGTTTTGAAAAAACATCGACGATATGCGATAAGTATTTATCTTGTTTCAGAACTCAGTAGCTTCAGAAAAACCAAAATTTTCTTATGGCGACTTCTTTTCTACCGAAAAATACAGTGAAACC